ATGTGTAAAGGCAAGCTGTTAGTACAATTATCCCCATACGACCTAGTCTTTCCTCCATGACATTGCATACATTTTATGCCTGCCTACTCGCTGGTTGTTGACGTGTTGCTGTGCTGTAGAGTAAAACTCGAGTAATTCAGTTATAATCCAGTGTTGTGGAAGGGAACACTATAACAGCTAAATCCCTTTAGTGCACAGGTCTAATTGCATTATCTGCAATACAAGAGTTATTGCTCACACCAGCTGATGCTCTGCACATTTGGGCTTGGCTCTCTCGCGTTCTCTGATCTGTCTGTACCGCTTTCCAGTGTATAAACACAGGTTAGTGTTCACAGCTTCTAGTGCAATTTTTCCCCACTTGTTACTGTTTATACATCACACTATAACATTCATGTTTGAAAACTGGGGAGGAACCACAAGTCCTACTTTTGTGTCTGATTGTTCTTTTGGCAATTACTTTTAACTATGACAATTTCTTATCCGTTTCCCTGCTTAATGTTAATCTCATTGAGCTGCATTAGCATCTTACCCCCGTATCTCCATTGCTGCTCTCCATATATCTGTCACCTCGGCACCATATATTTTACAAATCGAGCAGCGAATTTTACCTTCCAGTTCAGTTGAGTCTTGTTTCACGTTAGTAATGTTGCTGTTACCTGGATCCTGAGGATTCAAGTTGAGTTTCTTTTCACTGGGACACCCTTTTTCCTTTGCTCTTTTCCTTTGACTTTTTTTTTCTTGGAGCAGTTCCCACATCAGTTGATTTAGCTAGTTGCCTGTGCCTGTTTGCATGCCTTCCAGTTCAGATAAAAAAAAAAAAAGTGTAATGGAAGAAAATATGAATTCATAAAACCGCAGTGGACTGGTGCAAACTGTGACTCTAGTTAGTCAGTCATTGTAAAAATACCCATAAAATGCCTAAAATTCAGTAGCACAAGAGGACAGATTCTGGGTTTGAAAAGTGAAACCTCAAGCCTTTATTTCTTATACTGACCAGCAGGTGGCGAGCACTCCTGGTTGTTTAAAAAAATATAGTTACAAAAATGTATGGTTTCATTTGGCAATTTCAAGTCATATTGAATTTAACATAATGTTATTTTGTAAATTATGATCCCACTAGACTCAAAAACGATAATAGAGTAGGCTTTACTGTGGGATTGACATTGAAAGCTAGCCTGTGAGCTTGTAGCCTCAGTTCCAAGAGATGTCCTCTGTAATGCAGGCCTTTACATTTTCTTTTTAATTATTTATAATCTGCAGTGGTGCTTTGTTCACCAGAAATTATTATTTAAGTTTTGTTTTGGGGTAGCAATAACAACTACTACAAGTATTAACAACCTAATGCGGTCTAATGGGGTTATGAAACAGCTGCGTGGTGTAACTTGTGCTTTCTCAGTGCTCATACTGTAATTATTTATACGGTGTCTGCAAACCTAAATATTTCTTTCACCACACCACTTATCTACTATTTTAGCTGAAATTTAGCAGCTGGGTGGTATTAAATTGTCTCTAAGTAACACTCTTAGTGCTTTTGGTGTTGAAAAATTAATGTCCCTCAAATGTCTTGTGGCCTGCAAACTATCTCTTTAGCTTTTTGGGGGATTTTGCTGCTGTTGGTAATCATGGATTATAAATGTTTAAAGAGGCTAAAAGTCATTAGCCATCTGCGTATTCTTAGAGTAGCGACCTTGTGTTACAGCAACACGACAGTGGCTGCTGTTGCTGTATAATCACTTCTATAAACTTTCACTGCAGATGTTGAACAATTGAAGGCTTGTAATGAAAAAAAGACGACTTGATTTGACCAAAATAAATCCTGTGTTGTAGATGGCTGTTCTCTTGGCTGTCTGGCAGTTGAGCTTGAAATCAGGACAGCGCTTTTTCCACAGCAACATTCATCCAGAGATGTACACTTCCCATCCTGCCCCCAGGGAGGGGTTAAAAGCAATAAAGATGAGAACGATTTGTGTGCACTTGTGTGTTTATGTAATGTGTGTGTGTGTGTGTGAGAGAGACTTTTTTTTTTATAGCATTCATGTGGTTGACGCTCTTTAGCTCGCCATATGTTCCTGTTAGAAGCTTCTTGTGCTCTCCAGGGTGATGTTTGGTCAGGGTTGATGGTGCTTCTTTATGAAAGTCTCCTGCAGAAACAACAGCACTGTCTCCATGGATTCACACCGGATATTAGTCCCCACCCCCAGTTTAAGACAGTCTTATGCACACTCTTGCATCTAGCTTCCAACAGCTTGTTTCTGGGAGATGATGAACTAAGTGGGTGTATTATAAAATAAATGAACATTTTTCTATACTTGAAATCATTTAACGCTACTCTAGTAGAATAAAAAAAAAATACAAATATGGAAGTAGAAATTGGAATAAGAGTGCCTCCTTTCACCAGGCATGAGGGGGAGATTGAAATCACAAATTGGTGGTAAAGGAAGTACCCCTGATGTGTGTCGCGGGTTTGTTTTCTGCTTTAAAATCATGCCAGGATTGCTTCAGAAGTACTGCGTTTCGTCTGCATCAGGTCCTTTATTTTGAAAGTTGACTGCACGCCTCTCCTGCGTTTGTCTTCCTCTCGGCCTTGTCTTCTTTAAATCTTCTTTAAGTTGCTTTTAAAACTCTCTTCAGAACTGAGAGCTACTTCTGTGTTTGCTCAAATCACGAATGTTATCCTGAGTGGGCATGATCAGCTCTAGTGGACAAATGAATGAAGTTTATTGTTATATTCAGTGAAAAGCTCCATCAAAAAAAAAGAAAGCTGACAAAGCATCCATTGCTAAGGTCCGTTGACCATATTATTAATTTATCTATGCATTTTTTAAAAAAATGGTCCAGATTGATGGAATTATTTGGAAAATCTGAAATTTACATGGCTTTCAATGAGCCTCTTCCCAGTAGAGTTTTTGTACTTTATTAGCATGTTGAATGACTTTTACTGTGGACAGAAGCGATTGCATAAGAGTGCTGATTTTGGACACTGCGCTACTGCTGAAGGGTTTTTATTGAGTCCTGGCCTCAGTGTACAAACAAGTGGTTACAATTGTCCCAGTTTGAGGGGGACAAGCATTTTATATTTACAATGTAATTATATCCACTTGTTTTTGTATGGCTTGAACCTGTTCTGTCATTTAAAACAAAAATGTCAGAGTTTGCACTTTCATTTGCATTTTCATCACGAAACTCCCTGCCAGGCCTGGGTGGGCTCAAAAGCCCTGTTTCCCCCTGAAAGGAGGCCCAGTTCCAGTGCAGTGTGCAGGGGGCTGCAGCACCGCTCCTCCCCTTTCTCTGTCTCCCACAGGCTAGACCAGCAGAGTCGGAGAGCGATTGGCTCTGTGCTTCAGGCTGGGTGATTCTCTGCAGCAGGGCAATGTCACCCTGGCTCACCATCATGGTTCACTCTGTACTTTTACTCTCCACTGAGGCTTTAAACAGTTCATTAGTTTTTAACAAGACTGCAGAGCTCCAAACTCTGCTTTTTTAACCCCTCACTCTCTTGGATCTACTTGAGTCTTCATTGCAGGCTCTACTCTGTGTATTTTACACTATCAGTTTTTTCCAGTCTGTTACATAGCATTTGTGATTCTGATCACTCCAAAGGGAGCAGCATGATAAATGGTGGGGGTTGTCTGGACTGAAGCCTTCCTCATGGACACCCATCCTGAATAGAGAACATTGATGCTTCTCTATCCTCTATGCTGCTTCTCCCCCTTACTTGCTGTCCCTCTTTACTTGGATTGTCATTGCCTGAATGAGCCTTTCAGGACTCTGGTCTAGCAGGCTGAGATTAAAAAAAAAAAAGTTCCTCTGCAAGATAAAGCGAGCAGGGCCCTGAGCCTTCTGAAGACGCTCTCCCCTCACAACCAGCCGCGGCCACACTATAAGTGTGAAAAGCACTTGTTGCTTTTCCTAATCTCGATAAACGGGTGAATATATGCGTAGTCCACAAGTTCTGTTTGATCAGGCTTTGATTGCATGCAGATTAATGGTCCTTTAGGAGAGTAGGTTTGTCAAAATTCAATCTTCAACCTTATTTTGAACTTGTTACAGCCCTGAATACATTCATGTAGGGGCTGAATGCATGCTTGTGAGCTACATGTCCGCCACTGCTACGGTCCTGGTGTGGATTCTGTCCAATTTCCATTTAAAATGTCAGACTTGATTAATTTTTCTTTACCGTTTTTTGTTGTTCCAACTAAAGAAATGTTAAAACTACACAACAGGAAATGTTTTGGAGCATATATGGAATTTCACTATATTGTACAATAACATCCATCCATCTATCCATTTCCTGCTTAAACAGCTGAAAAAGATAAGTAGTCCTAAAGATAAGTAGTAGTCCCACTGGCTCCAGCACTGGGCAGAAGAGACTAAACAACCCGTCTGATTTCAAGTCAGACTTGACAGGATTGGACAGGCATTTTATTTACATGACTTCTCTCAGTTTTCACACCAGGACAATTAAAAAAGCTGTTTCGAATTATAATCATTTAAAATGTTATGTTTTATAACTATTGTGGTTGCTGTCGTGCACATTTTTGGTAAGAAAACAAGATTTAAAGTATTCTGTCTCATAAATGCAAGATGCTTCTAGCATCTACTTAAGAGTCAGTTAAAAATTCACACAAGCCATTATAAATTTAAACTGTGGATAGTCCTTCTGCCACGTTATTCATCATATATACATGTCATTTAGCTTTTTTATCATGTTTTTTATTATTTATTTTTTGCATTAATAAGTAATGACTTCTCTAGATATCTGCTGGCTGCTGTGGAAGTCCTGAGAAATTGGCCATTGTCATCAGTACACTGACTTGTGTTTGTTGGCTGTTTGCTTTCATATTGGTATTGACTCATGAAAACCCTGTCACTCTGCGTCTTTGCATCATATAAGTGTGTTATAGTTTCTCCTACACGTTTCAGGGACAAAATGATTGAGCTTTATATGCAGCTGTCCACAACTAAGTTTTTCAATCTTTTCTCTCCCCCTCGGTTTTCAGGGCGTACCCCAGCTCCCGTGTGCCAAGGCGCTCTACAACTACGATGGCAAGGAACAAGGAGACCTCAAATTCAGCAAGGGTGACATTATCATCCTGCGTCGACAAGTGGATGAGAACTGGTACCACGGTGAGATGGGTGGAGTCCACGGCTTTTTCCCCACCAACTTTGTCCAAGTTATTAAGCCGCTGCCACAGCCGCCACCTCAGTGCAAAGCTCTCTATGACTTTGAGCTCAAAGATAAAGAGGCCGACAAGGACTGTCTGCCCTTCTCAAAGGTGAGGCGCAGCAGCACTGCAAACCCACACTTCTGCCACATGGTCAGTGTAGTAAAACAAAAATACCTCTCATTACAGTGACACTCTTTCTTCTAAGCTTTCATTTACTCAGGTTTTGTGTGTATGTTGGAATGTCAGGGTTGTTGACGCCCAGAGAAATGGTTTAGATTTTCAGCCAGACTTCTTGATGAACAGCTGTAATTAGGAACGTCTTAACTACAATAATTAAGCAGTTATGTCTGTCCAGCTGTTGGGTCATGGTCTGCTGTTTATTCTTTCATCAGTTTGTGCCACATGAGCAAAAACCTAAACAAGCTTACTAAGTATTTTTCCAAACACAATGACCCCTGTGTTTTTACTCGTGGGCATGTACCGTTTAATAAAACTTTGCACCCACCTCATTATTTCTGTTCAGTGTTTGTTCCTCAAGGATGAGCAACTCTCTTAGTTAGCAGTATCCTTAATGAGTGTTTTCCTGTCTGTCTGGAATTTCAGGACGATATCCTGACTGTGATCCGCAGAGTAGATGAAAACTGGGCCGAGGGAATGCTGGGAGATAAAATTGGAATTTTCCCCATCTCGTATGTTGAGGTAAGACGACTAACGGGACTCTTCAGTGTCACCAATCGCTCCAGGAGCAGGTGTCTCACTAAGATCAGTTCCTTTGAACACCTTCCTTATATATCTCACAAAATATGTATGATACTCCGCATCCTTTTGAAATGCTTATGTTTCATTGAACCATTAAAAACGTCTTTGAAGATTTAGACAGTCGCGGTCTCACTGACAGTCTCGTGTAAAAGCTTTAGGAATAATTTAGACTGAATTAAGCAAATCTTTGCCCTTGAAAGATCATTTCATTTTCACTTGAAGAAACCGTTCACGTGAAGATCAAATAGGTGCGACTCGCTCTGCAAATGTCTGCCTCCTCTTAAATATGCACTCATTGACCACTTTATTATGTGCAGCTGGGATTTCCACACACTGGGTTCTGTAGAGTTTGCAGAGAATGATCAGTTTCCCAAATATATAATACGAAATGGAAATCGTGGATCCATCCTGCTTTGTGTCAGATGTTCAGGCTGGTGGTTGTGTTAAGTGTTCAAGATGTTTCATTGGTACATTTTGGATTAGTTATACCTACTGGGCTGAGCTGGTATGTTAGCCCTCTTCAACCTTCTTTTGATAGCAGATGTAAACCATAGGAAGCGAAAAACAAAAGTTTCCTAAATGAAACTGTTCACATTTTTGGATAATTGGATGATGATGTCTACAGCTGCTGACATTTTTTGTTTTTTGAAATTTGACCGCCTCAAGTCACGTTTTGTGGTTTAATTAGAAAGCATGCACCTCTGTAGTCAGTATATCTCCAAAACTGGGCAACTCACCAAAATAATCTATATAAATTATTATAGAAACATTATAGATTTAAATGCATTTGGTGGAGACATGGTGTCCATCAATTAGATTGCGGAAGAATCTTGAGGTTAGTCTGTGCAAGTTTTTCAAAGCTGTGACAGTTGTTTTTTTGTTTTTGTTTTGGCTTTTTTTTTATTTTTTATTGCTGTTGTGTGTTTTCTGTCCTTTTATACTCGTATTTTTCTACACTGAGTGGGGGTTTTGCAGAAGCAGAATGCAGTGTTTCCAAGGCTATAAATCATTTTGTATCTTAACAACTGAAACTGCAGAATAGAACATTTTGTTGTCTTCTCCCCTCGATGCTAGGCAGTCGTTTTTCTGGTTTCATAAACAGTGGCAGAATCATAGCAAATGTACAGCGACCTAAAATGTTCTTTGTCTCTGCATAACCAGTGAATATCTAGGTCATAGTTTTTTTTTTCATCGCCTCAGGGGCTTTTTTTTGCGTCTTCAGTTGTGCATATGAATTAATCTATAAAGTTGGCCTTATAATTTAATGAGATGAAGGGCTCTCACCTGGTGCTTTGCTCTTAATCCTGCATGTATATGTGTTAATGTGCTGACATGTCAGTGATGAACCTGCACAGGATCTGAGTGTAATGCATAGCTTTTATGTCCTAAGTAGACAGAGCTGCTTGGGGCAACCTGTGACAGCAAGTAAGCACACCCTGTGATTAACTGAACCCTTTTTAGTGTTGCTTCTTTGATTTATACCTCACTGTCAGTCATACATTATGGTGCCTGAAAGGGTTAAAAAGCCTGTGGTTTCATAGCTGGCTTTGAACCATCAACTCTTTCAGACTAAAGCCCCCTGCACAGAAGATGTAGCATGAACAGCAGAAATATTATAATTTAGTATTTGTTTGTTCAGTTCAGTTTATTTTAATGTATTAAAAGTCATCCTTAGTCATATTAGTCAAAAAAAAATGTGTGCACAAACCTAATGCTAATTGTGTTGACAAATTTGACTAAAGGTAAAGAGGCTGTCTTCATATTGTAGTGTACTTTAGTGTGTTTTGTAAGGGAAAAATTGTCAAAATTATTGCTTTTTATTATTTTTAGTTTGGTTAAACCACAGACACACATGCCAGGAAGACATTCAGTGACCCCTGCCCTGTAACCCCCAGCCACTGGGGGAAAAATGCTTATTGTTTACCTACTGGTTGGCGAGAGGTTTGTGGGGGGTGATTTCTGTCACTGAGTAAAATCGGTCACAAAGAAGGTACTGCCCCAAAGTCCTTGTGATTTCTTTGATTGCTGATCACTTTGATTGCTGTGGTCGGTCATAGTTTGTATGGAATATACCGATTTGTCTGCAAATACTGGCTAACTACTCCCTGACTGATAGTAAAACTAAAAGTGCAATTTAAACCAGAACCAGAGAACTGTCTTCTTCAAAGTAAAAATTGCACCCTTTAAAATGTGTTGGCACAAGCTTTCATCCCATGACAGGAAGCAGCCCCAAACAGCTACTCACTAACTGGTCAGGGGATCCACTTTTTTTTTTTTTTTTAAACTAGCGATCAAAGGTTGCCATGGAGTTGCCAACTGGTCTCTAGGCCTTTGTGACCGAGGCTTTAACTAAGAACTTGTTTTGGTTTTATATAGAAAAAATAATAGTTATCTTAATTTTATTTATATGGCATCTTCACAAAGTCCTTTTACAAAAAAGCAAAACCAGAATACTAAATTCAGATGGGCAGACATCAGGATCAAAAACATACAGAAGTTAAAACTGAGGAAAACATGACAGAGAAAAAAGTCAACACAGATTATCATCATCATCATCGTTTATTTATATAGCACTTTAAAAACACACAAGGCTGACTAAAGTGCTGAACAATAGAAACATAATAGATACCATAAGAATAATAAATACGATAAAATAATAAACATAGCAAAAACAGTAAAATACAAGTCAGTCAACCACTGGGTCAAAAGCCAGTGAATAAAAATGCGTTTTCAATCTGGATTTGAAAACCAGCACTGATGTCGATTGCCTAATGTGAAGAGGAAGATTATTCCAAAGCTTAGGAGCCACGATCGAGAACGCTCGGTCTCCTCTCAGTTTCAGCCGTGATTTGGGGACTGAGAGCAACAGCTGCTCAGCTGACCGGAGTGAACGAGTGGGGACATAGGGCTTCAGCAGGTGCCAGACCATTTAAAGATTTAAAAACCAATAAAAGAATCCTAAATTCATTATAATACTAATAACAATGTAAAAGCATTTTTAACACAAAGCTGAACAGCTATTCATAAATGATGCAGGTGAGACAATAGGACTACAAAATATTGCATGAAAGCAAATATGTAAAAATGTGTTTTTAGGAAGTTTGTAAATAATTTCAAGTGCATAAAAGTTTTTTTGTCTTAGTTAATTATAAGCTTGACAAGCAACAACCTCATTTGTGTCTGTAAAGGTGACAGTGCTGATGTTGGAGCTTATTCATGTTTCCAAAGCTCTTGGAGGCTGATACAGAATCTCTATTTTGGTATAAAATTCACTTCTTGTGTTTATGGGTGAATAATTTGAGTTAAATTGAATTGTGTAGACATATGTAAGTTAGACAAATGTGAGACAGAGGACTGAAAATGTGATGTCCAACTTGGGCACGTTCTTTTCCTCACCCTCTCCGCTCAATACATTAAGAGAGACTTCCCATGACAATAAGATTAATTATAGAGAGTGACAGTTTTCGTGATCATTTTAATGCTTCTTCCCCCATCAGTCCTTCATTTTACTTACTTCCAACTCCTCTCTTCATAACCCTGCTGGCTCTCTTCCTCTCTTGTAGTTCAATTCGGCAGCTCGGCAGCTTATAGAGTTGGACAAGCCGTCCGACTCCAGTGGAGACTCCGGGGAAGGGGCCTCCTCAGGGCCTCAGACAAATGGTGCACACCGGGCAGGGGAGAAGAAGAACAGCAAGAAACGACATTCTTTCACCTCGCTCACCATGTCGCACAAACCCATGCTAGCACCTCCCCCCCAGCGCCACTCCATGGAGATTAGCGGTCCGGTCCTCATCAGCTCCAGCAACCCTACGGCAGCAGCTCGAATCGGAGAGATCAGCGGGGGCCTCTCCTGCAGCGCACCTTCACAGGTATGATGCCATAGGGGAGTGCTGTTGCCTCTGAATGATGCTATACAAATTTTTTTAGATGGGTTGTACGTGCCCAAACATATGTTACACACAGGATTTTTCAGATAGTCAGAGCTGGAGCAAAACCCACCATTATATAAACAAGGATTATTTTGAGCCATAAGTCATGCAAAGCTTCTCTAACAGAGTTCAAGAATAAGAATTTGCAGTTAGGAATGAGAAGAATGGGTCTGCTTTAAACACACAGAGTTGAAAAATGTACATTCCTCTTCACTCCATGATTCTGGTTGAGATGAGTCATTTAACCAGCTGACTTGTAAATATCCTGTTCCCTGGTCTGTAATTGCATAACTTAAAAAAAAGAAAAAGAAGGAAAAACAGAAACCAGCTTCAGCTCTTTTTTCCACAAGATATTTATTGCTTTTCAGAGGCTTCACTCTCCTTCTGTCAGCAATTAGGCCGACTTCCCTTTCCCCCCGTCATACCAAACAGGCCATTGCTCCATCTGAGCGTTTGAAATCATGGATGCGTGACTCCACTCATCCACAAAAATGACTCCAGCTTAGCCCTAAAGGTTTCCACACCAACCCTGACATGACGGCAGCTCACAGCTGCCTTGTGGTTGCCAGCCGGCTGTGATTGAGCTCTGACTTGGTGCTGTGCAAGACAAATGTTTTGTGGGTTTAACTTGGCCTGGAGCTGTCCGTTTCTTAAAGTTTGTGCATCTAATAATAAGTAAATGGTATTTGAAAAGAATTCAAATAGTTGTTGCTTATCAAAGGGAAGTAAAGGCTGTTAAATTGTAATGAATTCATTTCAAGTAATTTTATAAATGGTGCTGAACTAATCTAGTTAGTTTTATTAGGGGAAGGTGGATTCCCTGATACTTACTGGTAGTTTAAATTCCTGAGCATAATAGGAAGGGACCTGTTATGCCTTTTCTTATTTTAGTCATTAGCATCCACTATTGCTTATTTAACTGCTACTGAGTCTTAAGCAGCAGGTTTTCCCATCTCATTCTTAGTTTTTGGAAATCGTATCCAAGCAGATGTATCTGTGAAACCTTGGGACGGTGCATGCTTATTGGCTAGGGACTTGTCAGTCACACAGTGACTACCATGCTTTGTCCCGCTTGTTGATAGCAACGAGAACCATAATTTTAAAATTTGTGGCCATGTTCCATTTAGTATCACATAAAACTAATGATAGAAGACATAAACATATCAGGAAAGTGTTTACAAAAGTCACAGATAAGGGAGCCAGTTTGCCTGTAGACTTTATATAACTAGTTCGCTTTTGCGGCAGAGGAGTCGCCTCCTGCTGGCCAGAGAGAATTCATGTAGGTTTAAGGCTTTGCTTTTCAGGCCTGTAAGAAATATTCATTTTTAAAGACACTGCATTGCTATAGTGGCTTCTTTCAGACAGAACATGAACTGAGGGGCTTCATCAAGACCCAGCACAAGACAAGTGGAAGGATTATTTTGAACTACAAATTATGCAGTAGTTGAATCCATTAATCAAAATATGGTAGAGTTGGAGGTTAATATAAGGCTTGTAGTTTATTATTATTTTGAGAGAGATTTTGTTGTTCTGGGAGTTGTCTGGGAGCTTGCAGCTAAAACATTTTTTCTGTTACTTTCTGATTTTTATGTATTTGTTTTCCTCTCCTCTTTTTTTAACGTACTTACTTCATTGTCTGGTTGCTGCAGACTTTCAGAAATGCTACGTTCCAAAACCCCCTATTAAGCTCAATCATTAATCTTTCATCTGCAGTGAGTGTTTATGTGCTGCTTTGTGAGAGGGAGACAAGGCGAGCGCTTGTCTGCAGTAAAGCGGATATTGAGGATCATCCTGTCTTTTTTCTTTTTTTTTTTTAAAACTAAAAGCTTTTCATGTAAATATGATTTACGTATCATCAAAGCCGTCTGTCTGTGCAGAAGGCATAATCAGGTTTATAACGACCTTATCCCAGTAATCATTATCATGATATTTCAGGAATAAAAGAACCTGTATATGTCTGCGTAAAGTGATCCCCCCCCCTACTGACAACAGTGCTAATGATATGTGTGATTTATAGATCTTTGTTTAATAAAAACACGGCAGAAAGAGTCCCCAGGCTTTATACGCACAGATTTTGTCTCCTGTCTCCCGTTTACCTTTTCTCATCTCCTCTTCTTCCAATTCCCAAACAATAGACAAAGGTAAGCCAAAGAAAACAGGCCGTGTTTGAAAGCCTTGACTACAAACCCCAAGGGACACGTATTTATTTAATTTAACATAGTGCACCCTCCTTGTATTTTGGCATTTATTCTTTTCAGACAGCCGTTTCACTAACAGTGCCACTTTTGAGTACAGAGTTAGATTTTTCTTGCCCTCCTTACTGAAAAATACACCTTAGGAGGCGGCTCTGTCTTAGGCAGTCATCCATGGAGAGAGACCACAGGCTACAGGGAGATATTGTGTGTCCAACAGTATGGCCTTGTTGCCAGCACACCATCATGACTCATGTGGATGACTGACTGGGAAAGCCGCCTCTCTTTACACGTCCAATGAAATGTCCTGCTGTGCAGTCACCTGATTTTTTTGTTGGCCTGTAAGGTCATGAGGCCAACTTTGTGGTTATAACTGGAATAAAAAGCCACACATGTGCGTCACTGTTTCAGTGAGAGTCATTTACACACAATGTGACAGGCGAGTCACAGGGTAATTTTTCACGTCAGTTTTCTCCCACACATAGACCGTAGACGTGTTTTTATAGAATTTTGTAGTTTTTAATCCGCCTGTTAGAACTACGGCATCTGCATTAGATTTACTAGCGCTCGTTATTGCCTGAATAAAAACTGGCCTTGTGGGGGTGATTATGCTAATAGGCACAATTGGGCTGTGTGTAGTTACTACAGTGAGTCTCTCTTACCCTAATTAACACAAATGTTTGCCCATTCCTGTTATTTTTGGCCTTTTGATAAGAAGAAAATGTGTCATATGATTTAGTAAATGAGATTCCACTGAAAGAAAAATGCTTAAAAGTATATTTTTATCATTTTCCTGGTGATTTTCATTAGTAAGACCAAAATCTTTTTGGGGAGCACCAAAATTATTGCGTGCAAGAGAAATCTTGATTGTTGACAATACATCTGTCCACTTCAAGGTCACGGGAGAGTGGAGGGTCGTAGGGTCCTGTCACAAGGCTTATTATCGACAGTCCCCTCACTTCTTTTAAAGTTCAGGCGCTATAAACTCTTTTCACTTTTTCCAGTGAGTCTCTTCTCTTTCCTGTGTTGGACTACAGCTGAAACAGATCTGGATATCTGCTGCTAACTAGATGGAATTTCTAACATGAATCTGGAGGCGGTGAAAACCTGCTTCATGTTGCTCTACGCAGACCTCACAGAGGCTGCACAACAAAAGAAAAACCACCAGCTGCAGTCCAAAGTCATGAATGCAGCTACTCGGAGACCATTCCAGTGGTCAGCGAACAGTTTATTGATATACACTCAGGTGTTTAAACTTATCATTAAGGGTACAGGGGAGGTTTTCCAATGTTGTGTTCATGGCAGAAAGACTGTGAACAAATGGTGCAATGCAACAAAGGACTAATGCAAACTGGTTTCAGGGAGATGGGAAACGTTGGGCTACAAGACACAGCCGAAACAAATCCAAGATGATGAGACAGGGGAAGCGAAACTAGAAAAGAGGTCCCAGTGACAGAAACTACCAGTATAAAATGGGAAGTCATAAAACAATTAAATGCCTAACACGGAAAGGGAGACGGTGAACACAGGATGAAAAACTGAAGCTCAGCTAATTATCTTATTTAGCTAATTATATTAACTTCTTACATTTTTTTAAAATTTAATATAATATAATTATTATATTTAAACTATATCTATTTATGAATCACAAAAGGAAACAGAACTGAGACAGGAAAGAATAAAATCCTGGAAAAGATAACAGGAGTTAGAAGCTCGAATACAAAACAAAGGGCAAACTAAGAAGTAAATATACAGCAATAAACCTAACTAAAATCTAGGGTCAAAAACCCCAGTTGTTGCACGGTTATTTAGCTGTACTGACATCCAAATCTGTGCCGTAAACACTCTGTGCTGGGATCAGCGGTGATGCACATATGTCCTCATCCTGTAGGTGTAATTAATCAGAATAGCTGGAGCTCATTTCTATTCTTTGTGTGTGAGGAGTCGTTGCAGTGTTTTTAATGGTCTGCATTTGTCTTTTGTTGACAGGTACATATTTGCACAACTGGCCTAATTGTGACCCCGCCTCCTAGCAGTCCTGTTACTACAGCAACCGTCTTCACATTTCCCTCAGAGACGAGCTACACATCCATCCCTGTGGTAAGACTTTAAAAGTCATACAAATGCTGTCTTGAGCAATTTTTTTTTAAAGTAAATGTTGATTGTTACTGGGGACTTAAGTGGTCTAATGATCATTGGTTCTCTTGTTGTTGGTTAATTTAGTAGAAAGACATCCACCCACCATAACCTCTTTTTACCCCTCAGCCTGTAAAAGGCTGATAGGGCATTGTTGTCAACCTGCCAGGCGGGCAATGTGGACACCCAAGTTTGTCAATATGACAACTAGAAAACGAAGCAATGTAGGAATTTGAAATTGATGCTATAAGTGCATCTACTAAAAATCTTGGACGACTTTGAATCTCAGTGACCCTGACCTCAAGGTGATAACTGGAGAAGGAAGTCACTCAGGATTTTCACATTCACAACTTAAGTGTATCTACTAAAAATTTCAGTGGCCGGTAGCCTTGATCTCAAGGTCAAAGTGTGAATGCACCGTCAGGCCTACCGGAGCTTAGATGGACTGTATTGCAGGGCTTGTAAAAAGTGGTAGAAGCCCAACATTTAGTACACCTCTTATGTCACTCCAGACTTTCAAAAACAGCATAACATCATCTGGCAATGGCATACATTATACCGGTTATTCTATTGAGATTGGATTAACTGATCCAGTAATCCTCTGAGGTCTAAGTTATCGTCTCTATCACCTGTAGGATTAAAATGTAGGTTTGCGGTTACCATCAATGAAGACTTAAACCTCAAAGCGTTAAAACGTGTTGCCGATGATTGGCCAGACATCCGTTTATGTCAGGGTCTTTTAGACATAAAGTTTTGTTCATCTGTATTCTGTGCCGATAATGGTTTTACAATTCTACACTTTGCAAACAACTTTTTAACAACACCTATGTGCAGAGGGAAAAAGAATGAGTGCAGCTAAAAATGTCAAGAAGTCCCTGCAGCCCACACAAAGCAGCACGTACACTTCCTGTCTGTCTGTGTGTATGCTCTGGCATGTGGAGTTTCTGAATGAGCAGGAATGTGTACACAAAAGGTTGCGCTCTCCGCTTCACTTGGGAACCCAACATGATGTTTTTGTACAGATGATTTCTCCAGCCTGCAGGCAACCTAATTATCTCAGCTCAAGCGTCGGCAGCGAACCGAAACGCACATCGACACTCGCACATACACACAGCCCGTACGCACACCGCAGGGCTGTCTGAGTGCCACTCTCCTCCCCCAGTGTGTCATGGAAGCTATTACTCTGCTGTGCAGAACTGCCAGCATTCGGTTTGGGAAGACTCATCTCGCTCCTGGATAGGAGAGTCCTCTTCAGCATCATTCCAACACACTGGGACTTCATCTGGGGGTTTTTTTGGTTTTTTTTAACAGTTTACGATTTTATAATGATGTGTTGTTTTCTCTTTTTATTGATTATTTACTGTGTTTCATTTCCAAAGTTAATTATAAACCCGGATTAACTGACTCCAAAACTACGACTCATGGCAAAGAGAAAACAAAAGGATTCATAACCAAAGTTTGAACACAAATTATAACCGGTTGATGCCAATATATGTTGGTCCTGCCAGGTTAAATTGTTATTAAAAAATATGCCAGCCATAAGTACTAAATATGCGCAAGTTAAAAGGACATTTTGTCACCATTTTGGAGTGTAGAAAGAATAAAAGGGTTTGGGAAGAGCTCAAAGCGATGTGAAGAGGAAAAGAATAAGATGAAGTTTCACTAGACCCAAAATTAAATCTGTTTGATCTTTATTCAGAAGAACAATTTCCACTAAAAAGAATATTATGTATTGAAAGATAACAAGAACATCTGTTTGAAAAGCTTCAGGGGCCATTTTTGCTGTTGTAAAAGAATGTCATTTTCCATTTATATTTTTAAAAGAGAAAAAAAAAGCTGTTAAAGACAGATCCTTCTATTCAATTTTGCTTATGTGAAGTTGGGTTTTGTTGGTAGCAGGCTAAGCAGGGTAACACTTTTTGCTTCCTCCTGCTCTTGAGGGGTTCCCAAGCCACATAAAATATTCTAGATCTATCCTAGACCTCCTTCAAATTGAGCATGCCCAATAATCTCCACAGGAAAGCAGCCAGAAAGCATCTTGTTTAGATGCTCCAATGATACCACCAAAGAGATGGAGAACTTGGGCAAGCACTAGAAAGTTTCCTCCTGGACCTGGAAGGGAAGCCTGTTATCAAGCATCTGGTAGCTGTGATCCATATGGCTCAACTGAGCATATCCTGAATAAATATGTGTTTGCTGTCCTTTGGTTTGCCCATCCATCGTAACAGATTTTAAGGTAGAGTGCAATGGAGGCTGGGCAGCAGACAAAGGCAGACATCAGATAACAAGTTTATAATTTTCAAACATGAAAAATTAATCTTGTGAATTTTTGACTTCTTTCTAAAATTGTACTTCTGCTTTGTGTGGTGACATAGGAAGTTGGTGACTTATATTTTAATCCTGTAATCCTAGAAGCACAAAAAACATACAAAGAAAATCCCCTAAAGGCCTCCAGTCAAAAGCTTGAGTCTCTTTTGACCTTAAAGACGTTCACCAAGGGAAAACAAGTGAGTCAAGATGAATCTACTCATGACTGGTTTGAGGGTTGCTCTCAAGTGTGCCAACAGGCATGCTTTTCACTTCATATGTTCCCAATTAAATACTGCAATGGATTTAACATCAAGCTATGCGGTGTCCTAGCAACAAACAAACAAGCAGAAAAGGAGATCCTCCGTTGCAATGGGACGTCGGGGACGAGACGACGGAGGCTGCCAAACCACTCTCCCTGGTGTTGACAGCTGGAGGGAATAACCCAAATGACAGATGATCTCTCATTCTTCTTCTTCCTTTGTTTCTCATAAACAAACTGGTTTCTGTGCTTATGCAACGTGCAGTCTGTTTGGTTTTTTTTCTTCTTCCTGCGGTCCATTCTGCTTTTTTTTCTCTGATCTTTCTGATTCAAACTGAGAGGAAATAAGTGACATAGTGAAAAATAATGTGATTTTTTTTTTCTTTCCTCTATAGGATGCTCTCCCACCACCCCCACCGCCTCCCCCCCAGTCCTCCGTTGGTGGAGCTGCATATTCGCTGGTTGCCGGACAGAGACCCTCCCCCAGCATAAGCGACCAAAGTGGGAGACAAAGACCCACAGTGTGAGTAATAAAAACAGTCCCACATGAAAATATGCAGTCTTCTGAAATGTGCAGTGAAATGTCACAAGCGGTTTGTGCACTGATGGCCCAAAGCCTTAATGCACATGCTCGGATCAGAGGGAGGAAATCCTCGTCTGTCTCTCACACAGCCCCCTCTTTCTCCCTCCCTCCCCCTCATCTGTCAGTTGAGAGTCTGCAGAGTGTGAGCTTCTGCTCAGGTGAAGGGGTCAAAGTCTGGGAGTGACAGTCTCCTGGGTCCCATTGGTCCATCCACTCGGTGACCCCTCACTTTTGACCCTTTCACCTTTTACCCTCATTACTCCCTGAAGACAAACCACCACCTGATAAGAATTAGATCCACTCATGCCTGTTTTCCTGCCATTGCATGCATGTCAGACTCATCCATTTATGTTCCCTCGCAGATAACACTGAAATCAGACTGAAAACATCCCAGCTGAGGCCTGTTTTTTTGGCAGCGGCAGAGACATGACCCACAAATTGTTTTGTCCTCCAGTGCAGATTTTCTCTGGGTCAGAGGGCACTGTCTTTGCTGGAGGCTCCCAGAGGAGCTGATGACAGATGTACTGGATGATGGGATGAACGCAAAGCAAATGGCATGCTTTTATTCCAGAGGGGAGAAAGTCCGCCATGAAAGCCATCTATGTGTCTGGTAAATGTCTCATCTTTGTTTGTTTTTAATGCAGCTATGTGGCAATGTTTCCCTACACTCCTCGAAAGGAGGATGAACTGGAGCTGAGGAAAGGAGAGATGTTTCTGGTGCTGGAACGCTGTCAGGATGGCTGGTTCAAGGGCACGTCCATGCACACGGGAAAGATTGGAGTGTTTCCTGGGAACTACATGAGCCCCGTCAGCAGGTCAGGTTATTCTTATCAGCATACTGTATACACACACACACACAGGTGCACTCGCTTTCACATCCTTTTGTTTATGATGCAAAGCTATAGCATAAAAATTCCTCCAGTTTGCTGATAGTGTAAAGATGCTGTGTTTTATTGATAAAGCCACACCTGATGTTTATTCTGTACAAATGCTTTTTGCTGAGTTATTGAACCAGCTTAGCAAAGAATAATTCCCATAACGAATACATTTTGCTGCACAAATTCCTTGTGTGAGTTTTTTGTTTTCCTGCATTCAGCTTTCAGTCTGACAAAATTGTAGACTTCATTTAAGGTTTTAGTACGTTTTTGGTTTATGGTCAATTTAAACCATAACGGTGACTCTTGTTAGTCACAGTTTAAGACCAGAAATCTTTACCTTCTTATGGCTAATGTAATTTACTAAATGCTGCTTCAGTTCCAAACAACCACAGAGAGGCACACAGACTTAAAACTTTTCAGATTCTTTCGGGGTCAATAAAATGATTGGTACAGCTGCTCCTCCAGGTGCTAAAATCAAAAGTGTTGTCCAGGCATCATCGACAGAAAAGTGTTTATGAGGTGGATCGGGTAGTGTTAAGCTACTTAAATCTGGAAATGATGCTCCATGTTCTGACTGAGGTCCTTCTAAAAACAGAGCTACGGTGCTGTGCATTTTTATTTGTCCATTTATAATCTTCCGCTTATCTGAAGTCAGGTCACAGTGACTGCTGGCTAAGCCGGGTATTCCAGACCTCGCTTTTCCCAGCAATGTTTTCCAATTCCTCCTAGGGGATCTCGAGGTGTTCTCAAGCCAGCCAGGAGAGCTGTGTAATCCCCAGTGAGTTCTGGGTCTATCGGTTGGGTACAGCTCGTAAACCTCCTAAGGGAAACATCCAGGTGGCATCCTTGTAAGGATGAGCGGTCTCCTTTTTGACACAAAGGAGCAGCATCTCCACTCTGAGCTCTTCACCTTGTGTCTAAGGCTTAGCCCAGCCACCCAGTGGGTTAGCTAATTATGTTAGCTTGTACCCGCAGTCTTGTTATTTTCAGACACTGCCCTCACCATCACTTTTAAAGATCCTGAAATATTTAAACTTTCTTATTTGGGGCAACAACTGTTCTCCAAACCAGAGAGAACAATCTGCTTTACTGGAATATTTGGTTATCATAAAGTCAGGATCTTCTATTTGATGTACTGAAATCTTAGTTGTCCAGGCTGTGATTAATCTTTTCTGAAACTCTAATATATTGGTGTTCTGGATGCTAGTGCACACACTAGAGCTGCCGGGCACACTTCACACTAAAGATGCATCTCATCATATAAAGCTGCACTGTGTCTTACACCTTTTTACTTCCTCTCTCCCTCTGCAGGACAGCGTCTGGGAGCTCTCAGCCCAAAGTGCCCTTGAGTCTGTGCACTCAGGCAGGCAGAGGTGTCACCATCGTCAGCCCTTCTTCTGCTCCCCTTGGAGCCATTGTTTCAGGGCCTGATTTTAACAAACCGCTGACTGTATGCCCCGCCGTTGCACCTGCCAACTCCCAGCCTGCAGCGGTGGTCACCACAGCTCAAACAGCCACAGGCCAACAGCCAAAAGTCTCGCTGCACGTCACCTCCCAGATGACCGTGAATCAGGCTCGCAACGCGGTCAGGACAGGTAAACTCACTGGCTTAAAATGGATTTTGTCCTTTTGTATGAAGACAAATTTAAACCTTTAATTTTCATATATTGAATTTACAGCTGCATGTCACAGTCAGGACAGGCCCACAGCAGCAGTGACACCAATACAGTCTGCAACACCCGTGACGTATCTCCCGCACCTCGCAGTGTGCTCGCAGCCCGGGTCAAGCCCTGCACAAGGCTGCACTCGAGTAGGGGTGGCAATGGGCTGCGCAGCTGCCTCCTTGACCCCACCCAATGTCAGCGCTGCATCTTTGGATAGTGACTCTTTGAGACCTGTACCTGTCCTCGCTGTGCCTGTCAACCCTGGGAGCAACTCCGCTCTCAATCCCACATCTAACAATGCAGCTCCTGCCTGCAGACTGGATAAAGACATCAAGGTTGGATTTGTTTTTAGACACTCTGGAAGAATTTAAATGGTCTCCAATTGTCTGTTGCTGTTTGTGTTTTTAATAGATACCTGTTTTGTTTTTTTTCCATCATAGTAATGAATGTCTTCATTTGTAGCAGATGATTGAAATGCCCTGGGAGACTTAATTTTTATTTAAATGTTAATCATGCAGGGACGATTCACCAGTAGGAACAACAAGGAGGGCTGTTATATATATATATATTTTTTTTAATGTCTGCTTAACAAATAGATGCCATGTTTTTTCACATCTACCTTGCCTGCAAAAATAAAAAATAAAAAATTGGAATTTGTCCCACCACAGTTTTTCGTTTGCGTAGGGAGAAACGAACAGGTCCAGACATTAGATTATGTCTGTCTGCGCGTCTGAAAATTACTTCTCATCGCCTCAGGGGTAAAAAAATAAAATAAAATGCTTGTCTTCATTTTGCAGAGAGAAAAGAAAAGTCTTCTGAAGCTGTTGTCCTCCAATAAGAAGAAGTCTCGCCCTTCGCCCCCCTCCTCTCCTACCCTTGAGGCTGAGCAGGCCGCTGCTGCTGGAGAGCTGCTACATGGCGCTGTGGGCCCTGACACCTCCCCTCCCTCTGGCCCAGCGAGCTGCCTGGACTCTGAACCTGCTGCTGCTTCTGCCTCGTCATCCTCCTCCTCCTCAGTCCCAGAGTCCTCCCATCGGAAGAGCAGTCCCCTTGATGGATGTGTTCCTATCGCTCCTCCTCCCCGCCAGCCCTGCTCCTCTCTTTTATCTCAACAGCATGACGCACGTCCCATCATATGTGAGAGGTAAATGCGCTGTTTCTTTGGACTGTTTCAGATTATTGTTTATCTGTACAACTAGATCAATCAATAGCCAGATTCATGAAGGCCTGTTTAGACTAGAACTTTGTGTCCATGTTATGGTGTTCCTAATTCAGTTCAGTTTGAGTGGGATATATACACTCAAATTTTTCCATGTGTGCATGTTGTTTGTTGTTTTTAAATCTGTTTCCAGGACACACTCATTGCCATTGTTGCAGTGTGTATCATTCACCATCTGCCTGGCTATTCTCTTTCAGGTACAGGGTGGTTGTATCATATCCTCCCCAGAGCGAAGCAGAGCTGGAACTTAAGGAGGGCGACATTGTGTTTGTTCACAGGAAGAGGGAAGATGGCTGGTTCAAAGGCACGCTGCAGAGGAATGGCAGGACGGGACTGTTCCCTGGCAGCTTTGTAGACATCATTTAATACACGCACGTATACACACAAACACACAGTGATCCATCTGACTGCTGCTAGCCTCGTTAAGGTGTCACTGCTCCCAAGGTTGCTTGGACAGGTCAACCACGATGACACTTCAAGTCTTGAAATAGACCACTCGAGAGCGCTGCAGAGAAAAATCAATGAAAGCACATTGGACAGAGTTAGAGGAGAGCACACACTATTCATGAACTTTTCTTTACTTTTTTTTTGTTGGTTATTTATATCTTTGTAACAATTCAACTGTTAAATGTGTGCCTTGTACTGTTCCTCACTTTATTGTACATAAGGACACAAATATGATTAGTCCTAAAACATCCAATATGAACTGTTTATCCGTATGTTACACATTTTAACTTATTTCATAGATCAACCTTTTTGTAGTGCCACATGTTAAGGGGTTAAGTAAAGCACACGCCTTATTTTAATACATCGGATTTGCTTTTCTCTATATGACTGCTGTTCAGACTGTCAGAAGGCAGTTGTATTAGGTGGAACAGATCAGAACAAATTGTGCTGCAGAGTAGAAAATAAGATACTTCTCCTCCTCCGAAGGCATTATTGAATCCGGGGGATCCTAACAGAGATCTGCTGTATTGCACATTTGAGTACTCCGCTTTGACAAATTATTTCTGTGTGCCATTCACAGGCATCTAGTTTTTTCTCGCAGTGTGGTTGCAGTGTAAAGGGCTGATACTGCATTGATCAAACATTTGCATGTGATTAGCAAAGCCATCCGCAGGAGACAAAGTGCTGCGGGACTGTTTGGCTCTGCCGTTTTTAATATGCGAAAAACACACTCCAAAATGGACTCAAATGATGCTTACTTTGTACCTTCTTTATATTTACTGACCAGAGTAGCTGCTCTCCTAACCTCCCTCGGCAGTAGCCAAACCTGGACAGAGCGCTCCATCACGGGAGCGACATAACATTTCAGTAACAGTGCACGGCCGATTCCTTTCAGTGTGTATTTATTTTCTGTTAGCTACACATTTCAGAGACGCTGACACCTGCTGCTCGTAGAGAGAGTGTCATATAACTAATCGGACACAGTCGCCCCTCAACGGGCTCCGTTTGTGAACACGAACTCATTCCTAATGTGACTTGTGGCAATAAGAAACACTGCTAGCTAAAGCACAGAATGTTTGCCTAAAGTAGCATGTTGTATCACTCCACAGGAAGAGGTGCATTCAATCTGTTGAATCCAATCACAAGTTTTTATTGAAATCAATCACATTGAGCCCTTGATTCCCCCCCCTGTTTTTCATTGTTAAGCGATTCAAAGTTTGTTTCTTGTTTTTCTGTTAATTGTTGTACTGACTTGAATTACTATAAGATTTCTTAGTGATTGGAGGGGATTTGGCTGTAGGTTCGGTGCTTGTTGAACTGAAAATGAATTAGCAATTTTAGAATACTTTTTAAAAAAATGAAAGTGTAATCTTCATAAAAGATCATTCTTCTTTGCCTTGAAGTTGACCAGTTATGCTCATTTTTAATTTTGGACTCGAGTATTAGCTTTGCACAACTCACAGTTGGAAATAATCCTTCTTTATCTTATACTGGGCATTGGTGCAGCCTCTAAGTTCTTCCTCTGAAACAAGCAGTTTAGTTCCTCTACTTTTAAACCAGCTTTTATCTGATTGGCTGCACCTAACAAACAAAAGGCTTTTGATGATAGAGGAGCCAAAATTGTTCAGGAGGCATGCGGTTTTTCACTCTAAGAAGGTCCTGGGTTCAAATCCAGCAGTGAGTTGGGGCATTTCTGTGCAGTTTGTATGTTCTATGTGGTTTCTCTCCAGGTGTTCCAGCTTCATCCACAGTCCTTAGACTTCCATTTTTAGCTGAACTAGTGTGAATGTGAGCATGAATGGATGTCTGTCAATCTGTGTTAAACCTGTAATAGACTGTACCCCACATCTTGCCTATTGACAGCAGGAATTGGATAGGTAGAAGGAAGTGGACAGATGGTTTCTCTATTATTATGTTAACAGTTTTAATCTGGTTATCTTTTAGTTATTAACTTAAAGAAATTTTTAAAAAAAAAGTGTTTTTATTGGGGATTTTCCTGAATTTTATATATTGTTCACATAATTTGGGAAGCATGGTGTTACAGTAGGAACTTCCGGTCCATCCGGCCGGTGTCCTCTGTGAGACGGCATCATTAGACGACAATGGAATCAAGAAGAGGAGAGGCGAGGGCAATGGAAAGCCAAAGAGCCGATCCAGCTGGCACCTCTGTCATACATCACTTTTGACAGAAACCTTTAGATTGATCGTGTCAACTTTAAAAAAAAAACAAAAAACCCCAAACTCACTTCCAGTTTAGAGGACTAAACGTACAACAGTGTAAAAAAGATAACTGTGTTTGCTTGATTTAAAACACAATACATGAAGTAAACCTGCTAGTGAAATATGTGCACCTTTAGTTGTTTGATCCTGATCAATCAGATTTAAATTTAAATCCAATTCACTGCCCAGCCTGCGGTGGGTCGCTCTGCTTATAGAGCTACATTGAGTCTACAGCTTAGCAGTTTGTGCTTAGATTGGATCACTTTTAAAGTCTTCTACCTGGTTTCAAGTCAGTATGATTAGTGTAGACACACTGGGCTCAGGTATAAATGCAAACAATGACAGGACCAATAAATAAAGCTTGAAGGATAGCTTTATTCAGAAGGACAGGACGCTGACATTTTACAGAGCCAGAAGTAGAAAAATCTGTCTGAAACCAGGAGTTTACTGCACTCTGATGCTCGAGCTTAATTGGTGACCTCATTATGTCAAACTTTGGCCATTTATAATAAAGCATCCACCTTTGTAGCAAAAGCTGTATCACAGAAAAGAAGGAAAAGCATGGTAGGTTCACTTTAAAAAGCCCTCTGAAAAATCAATGAAACCCTTTAGAGTAAACGCATTACTGTGAACCCACCCCCCACCTCCTCGCCTAAGGGCACCTCACATCAGTTAATGTAATGTGACTTATTCATCAGATTTTTTCAGGAAGTCGTTTGAGGTCCGTGGGGTGTTTAAACATGTTGAGGCAATCACTGAATCGTGCCAAATTTGGCTTTGAGAAGGAGTTTAACGACTGATTTAGACCCAGAGTTTCAAGCGTCTGTGATAATTATTTTTTAAGTCTTTTGTTGTTAATTGAGGGGACCACTGTGTAACTGACTGCTGGAAATATGTTGTCATTTGCTTGAAATTTGGAGCGAGGGCGGAAAGCGATGGTACAAATCACTGTTAGGGCTTCTTTTTATATAGAATTAATCTGATGTTTTCTTGTCGTCTTGGCCGTCACCACACCAACCTCAGGCGCTCTGCTCAAACTCTCCCTCATCGAGTGTCTTTTCATTTCACTGGGAAGCCTTTAATATACAGACATACTCCTACACAGAGGCACACAGTTATACTGGCGTACACACTACCGCACCGTTTCAAATCATACTGACGTCTCGTACATGTTTTTCATGCATAGGCTGCACAGTTTACAACTCAGAATATGAAGCATATTGAATGAAGACTAGTAATTATTTCTTAAAATAATTACTAGTCTTCATTCATCCAAACACACGGCAACATAAGTTTGCTCAATCCAGCTTAACAGATTTCTTATATGCCAAGGTGACTTACTTGATTTTTTTTGTTTTTTTTAAGTCTGTCGATCATCTGTTATGTCTGAAAATGATGAAACTGAAATTGACGTGTTTGGCACAAATCTGTTATGTGAAAAACATTCTGAAGTATTTGAGGGAATCGCACTTTTTTTTTTTTGTTTTTTTGTAAAAATCTCTAAAACAATAAAAGCTAATGGTTTCCATATTTTTCTGAGGCTTGGTCATCATTTTGTGAGGGCACTCTGGTGTTTTCTCCAGTGACTGTGTGTCACGTCACAGCAGATGTATCTGACCTGGTTAGTAATCAGAAATATGAAAAAGTAAAGTGCTGTTATTTATTATTATTTATTACCTTAAAATGTACGGGCTCGCCATTTATCTGAAAGTACAGCAGTGTGCAAAAGTCTTGAGCCATCCCTCACTTCTTTATATTTTGCTAGGAAAATGTGAAATGTATCCAGTGATTTATTGAAATGTAAAAAAAAACCACTTGGAAATATATAAGGCAAAAACAGAGTTTTTAGTAATGAGCTTGAAGGTCAATATTTGGTGTGACCACCTTCATTCTTCACAGCCTGAACAATTTTAAGCTTTCCTATAGTTTCTTTAAGTAGTCGTCGGGTAGGATTCTTGTAGGACATTCAAAGCTCTTCTTTGGATGTTGGCTGCCTTTTGTTCTGTTCTATATCTACATGATCCCACACTGTTTCACTAATGTCGAGGACTGGGCTCTGGGGAGGCCAGTCTGACTGACGTGTGTGGTATTTTCAGGTATTTTACTGCATTAGCATCATTGGGATCGTTGTCATCCTGAAAAATGAAGCTTTTACCAATCAGACACTTTCCAGATTGCATTATAAAGTGGTTCAAAATCAAGTGGTATTTTTCTGATTTTGCAGTTCCTTTAATTTCGACCCACAGCACCAAGATCACTGGCTGATATAGTTACATACAGTTCCAAACCAGCGCAGAACCTCCACAGTTTTCACTTTTCAAAATTTGAATTCTTCACTTCATGAGACCTGTTGGCACTGATTTTCAGGCTGGTTCTTGTGTAATTTGACTTCCTCTGCATTTTCCTTAAGAATGACATCTTGGCCTTTCCATTGAGACCATTCCTGGTGAGGCTGAAGGACCAGATCCATCTCTCCAGCTTTTGCTGGATTTGGTTTTACTATTTCTTAAGGACATCACTTTAAGATATTAATCATCTGATGTAGATATTTTCTTTAGGCCTGCTATTACTACTTTTTGTCCTAAATATTTATTTTTTATGGCTGAATGAGTCATAGGTCAGTGTTAAGTGGCTTAACAAACGAAAACTCTTCTGAATACTGTCCGGTAGAAGGACTCGACTAAAAAGAAGCAGAAAAAGGAGCCAATGTCCAAAAACAAAAAACTTTGCCAGATCTTCAGAAAGCCTGCAGAACTTAAGTGTGACTTCTTGGAAGCAAAACATAAAGAAATAAGTGGTGACAGAAGACGTCTCCACAGTACTGTAAACACACACTGATTATTGCCAGGAAGAGAGATCTTTGTCCATCAACTGTATAAAAAAGATGGCCACCTTGACATAAACTGGCATTTCAAAGCCACAGTGTTAGCATTCTGGCTGCCATAGTGTTACCTTTAGGAGCCACATGTGTCTATATTTGGACAAGTAGTGAGAGTACAGACCCAGGTGCCTCCTAATTAAAGACTAGAATTTGACTCACCTCAAGGTGGAGAACTTCTCAGGCAAGCTGCATCACACAGCAAACCACAGTGGAGAGGCCCAATTCAGTGACTGAAGTTAGCAGAGGTGAAGTCTAACAGATAGCTATTGAGTACAGCAGCTTCAAATAAAACTGAAAAGTGTAACTTATTGAAAATAAAAACTGAGCCTCTTTTAGCCCAGGCCTGTCACATTGTCATGAGAACTTCTACACTTCCCTTTCTGTCACTCTTCACCATAGACAGTATAAAACATGAATATAGTCACAGTGAAGCCACCTGCTGGTTTGTGAAGTCCTATTTTGAAGCCTAGAGATGAAACCAGGTGCGATGAGTGAGGGTCCGTCTGACTGTCAAACATAGGGTACATGTTCTTTAGCTAACGTCTGGTGAAAGCTGTTAGCCGATGACCTTTCTGACTTTTAAAATAACTAACATTTACAAAATTAACATATTTTATTCATTATAAGCCAAAATGCCTGACTAAGTCCATAAACTTCTCATTAAGATAATTACTGATGTCAGCACCTTAACTTTTTACAACTACAGATAATGCCCCCTGGTGGCCTTTATAGAGAATGGCAGTTTTAAGGCCAAAAACTGCTTTTTATCCAGTAGCTTTGTATTTCAGTTCAGAAGCTGACACTCTAGAGTCATCATAATCAGAAATATTTACCAGGGTTATTTATTGAGTATTAAAGCATTTTTCATTTGTTCCACTTTATATTAAAAGTGGCTTATCCGATTAATTGAAACTAAAGTGTTTCAGAAACAGTGACATATTTTTTTGGTGATCAAAGGCTCTTTTTTTCAGCCGTGTCTCAGACTGAACTAACGCTCTCAAAGCCTGGTGGTGTGGTGGTGGAGGAGGAGGGCAAGGAGGAGTCATGAAATAAAGAAAAGAACAGTAACAAGTGCAATACAAACTAAGCTGCATAACAACGACAGCAAAGAGCTGGGTGCTTCAAATTAAATCTATTTGGGTGCTCATTATAGTATCTGCTAATAAAAGGTTGTTACTGCCAAGCAGTGTCTCCCATGACTTACAGCAGAGTAAAGAGAGGTGAGCCTTCCCAGAGTGTTCAGCTGGGAAATGTTGACAGGAACTGACAAGCACCCAGAGAGGTCATTGTGTTGCACACAGCTCCCTGCAGAGGATGGGTTTCCATGGAAATAAGTTACTCCAATATATAAGTATGAGACTATAGTGAGGAGGAATAAGGGGGAAAAAGTGTCTTGTAAGGAACATTTACACTTTAATCATTGTTTGTAATTCTAGGTTGTGTTATATCATCTGTCCACTTGGGTTGTTGTGCTTTAGTAGATTATGCACATGTGCTAAATCTGTTGCAGGAATATTTCAGGTTGACAGGACTGTGAGTTACAGGTTGGGTAGGGACTGTGTGTAAATATAGGCAAAGCTATGTATGCACAGCGCAGGTAAAATATTCAGAGTTAGGAGTGCTGTGTAGAGTTAAAGAATTAAGGCCCCAAGGTCAACAATTCTTGATAACGTTTAAGCACAAGGCGTGTGAGCTGATTCAAATTGACTGCAGCAAAAGGAATCAAGTCCTCCTTGAACTTTTTAACAGTGCCCGAGGAAACGGGCAGGAGTTATGTGCTTGGCTTCTTGGAATAGATTTTCTGTGCAATTATACCAGAAAAGTAAACGTGTGTTTTTGTGGGGCATGAAGAAAATGTGGTAGCATTTAAAAATAACCCAATGATCAGGCAAAATAGTTCCAGGAACTAAATAAATAAAGTGTTTTCTTTCTCTGAAAAGAAATTCAGTCCAGTGTCTCTCTGATGCACAAGCACACCTAATGAACTCTCGGTTGACAGGCTTAGAGTCACCACATTTAGAGAAATCAAACTGTTTGTAGTGTTTGCATTTTGTTCCTTTTATACTGTGTATGATTCACAGCGCTCAGGGCTACATATCCACTCTGGCACAGGTGATGAATGTGATTTTGCTTCAGCAAATCAATCTGGCAGAATAAGTCTCAGACTGATGAACTGTCCAGGTGTGGGCCAAGGCCACCCAACCGGTCTCAACATGATTCATTTTTTTTCCTTTTTTCTTTTTTTTGTGTGCACTGATGACAGATTTGCTTTTCTTCATGAGATATATTTCCACAAGGGAACAATGTGGAAAAATGAATGGCTGCAAATAGAAATCACAGTGTTATTTCACTGGCAGTAAGATAAAGATGAGGTATGCTGTATTTATTTGAAAAACGTTGAAGTTCCTGTGCTATATCAGTTAAAACAATAAATATAATTTCTAACAAAAAAGCCCATTTTTAAAAAAAGTAGCTAGGATGTAACAAAATAAAACAGCTTACTGAGATAACAAGCACTCTAACAGCTAAATCAAGGGAAGTAAATAAGCTAGATAAATAAAAATACTTTTAAAAATATATAATAAAACTATGTCAGAAGCTTTTGAATATATTACAATAAAGTGATTCTTTAAAGTAAAATAGATCAACAAAAACGAATAAAACGGTCAGACTAAATATAGCAAAACAAGCACAGCAAATGTCAGATGGCAAAGTGGGTCAGTGTACACACGGTGTAAAGTACAGTGGACAGTGTAGGGTGGAACTACAGTGGCTGGGTAAAGGTTAAAAAAATCACCAATCAATCAAAGCAGTGCTGGTTCAGTTCAGCCAATCCAGCGTTACCACAGCGCCCTCTACCGACCAACAACGACCAGCACAATAACAACAAAAAACATGGCGGCGCCCATGACTACCCGCTCCTCTGGTATTCTTTATTTGTTCAGTAAATAACATTTGTTACATTTGTAACAGTGTTTCTCAAACGGGGTGTTAGACTCAGAAAAACGAGGTAAGTATCATATCGCTGCATAAACGTAACTGTACGATGACATTTAAAGCTAAATACGGCTACTATTTACCGGACAGCGACTATGACTCTTAGCCTCACTGAAGTGACCCGGTGTCCTACTTTGTGTTGTGCTGCAGAGCATTTTGTCCCACATGTTAAGGCAGGGTGTCATGTTTTATAATCTTGGCTGTGTTTACTTGCCTAGACCCATACAGACAAACAACCAACCTTACCGTCACGTATTCATCCCAGCACGCGCGCTTCCGTGCACTTAAATAGATATAAACTCTGTGCCAAAATAATGGGGGAAAGATTAAAGGAAAATATATACTATACTATAAAATGAGTTTTTAAAACAAATCGCACATTCAAACAACCCGATGATGGCCGAAGAAGACTGCTCCAAATTTTAGGAGCTAAAAAAATTGGTTTTAAAGTATAATCGCGCAGCCTCAGTGACAAGGTCTCTAAAGGTAGCCCTTTATAAATTAGCCGGTACCTGTTTATCTACAACTTAAGAAGAACAAGTGTGATATGTGAGCACCGGCCATCCCTCCTCTGCACATGTCCAAACCCTACCACCTTTGCCTCTCTCCCTTATTAACAGTGATGG